TCTCGCTCTCGCTCTCGCTGTCTCTCGTTCTCTCTCTCGCTCTCTCTCTCGTTCTCTCGCTCTTGCTATCCTTACCCCACTCCCACTCCCTCCCACCCCATTTCTTCTCCAACTTCCCTCTTTCTCCTCCCGTTCCTCTTCCTCTCCTTTTCCTCCTTTCCTTTCTCCTTTTCTTTTCTCCCTCTCCTCTCCTCTTCTCCTTCCCACTCCCTCTCCCTCTCCCTCTTTTTCTCCCTCCTTCTTCTTCCCTCTCCCTCTCCCTCTCCTTCTTTTCCTCCCACTCCCACTCCCTCTCCTTCTCTTCTTTTCCTCCTCCATTCCCACTCCCTCTCCTACTTCTCCCTCTCCCCTCGCGCCCCCCCTCTCGACGACGCCTGTTCCGTCGAGGGGATCATCCCCTTTAAAGCGCCGAGATCTCTCCCTATTTTCTTGCTCTCTCATCACATTAACGCTTTCGTTTTTTTCTCTTAGCCGTTCCCTATTATTTCCTGCCGCCATGTCCCACACCCACTGCGATGGCTGTGAACCGTTTTCACAAGTTCTTCACATTACCCGACTGCCTATCAATACACTTCCAATATTAACCATAGCATTATTAGTTCCTCAAAACATTACCATCATTATCAATAGCATTATTAATTCCTCAAAACATTACCATTATTTCTGTTGACGAACAGGGTTGCATTACACTGTCGGGTCGTATGAAAGTCCACTGTGATCATACCTTTGAACTATTCAAAGTTCCACCTGGTAAGACAATCTCCGCGGAGCACCTTCCAGCTCAAACACACAGCAACACAAATCGCGTTTATATCTTTTTACGAACAGACGCACTTGCATCCTTCAATTTCATTTCTGTAAGAAGCACGGAAATCAATGCTAGCAATCTCCTTATGAACACATCCGTCACTTGTAAGTTTCATTCCACATCGACAGCGCACCGGCACAACAACACCTGATCACATGACAGTACCTCTACAACAACCACGCCACACCATAGACTGGTCACGGCTCAACTACGGACGGCCGGAAATCGTAACGGACCACTAACAACACTGGTTACTTTACTGTTACGCATAGGTGTGCATTTACGACTGAATGGTCACACGGACACCCACATCCTGGACACAGACGGATACGTTCAAGCAAAAGGCACAAACACAGTCAATCTCGCACGCATTCCTTCTACACGCAAAACGCTCAAGCACGCATTCCCGAACTAATGCACGTACATGCACATATACGCTCTCTACCTTTCACTCTTTTCTTCTCTTTCATTGTCTGTCTGTCTGTCTGTGTCTGTCTGTCTGCACTCTTCTCACTCACGTCTCTCTGTCTGTCTGTCTGTCTGTCTGTCCTGTCTGTCTGTCTGTCTGTCTGTCTGTCTGTCTGTCTCTGTCTCTGTCTGTCTTCTGTCTGTTTGTCTGTTCTGTCTGTCTGTCTCACTCGTCACTCTCTCTCACTCTCTCACTCACTCACTCACTCACTCACTCACTCACTCACTCACTCTCACTCATTCACTCTCTCTCCTTCTCTCTCTTCTCTCTCTCTCTCTCTCTCTCTCTCTCTGACTCACTAACTCACTAACTCTCTCTCTCTCTATCTCTCTTACTCAGTTATTCAATTACTCAATCACTCATTCAATCATTCTCTCAATCATTTACTCAATCATTTACTCATTCACTCACAGCACTCACCACACTACTCACTCATTCACACACACATACTCATTCACACACACACATATTCACTCTCTCGCTCTCACGCTCACACGCACACACTCACACTTACACATGCACGCACACACTCACACGTACACACTCACACGCACATATTCACACGTACTCACTCACATCTACACACGCACACCTACACACTCACATGTACACACGCACACACACACGTGCACACACATGCACATGCATGTGCGTGCGACACACCCTCCGTGTTACAGTTACCTCGTCGGACTTCTCAGCGGAGCCGTCCTTCTTCTGCTCGGCCTCCTCGTGGAAGTGCAGCTGCGGGGGCGGGGCCGTGGGGACCTCCGACAGCCTGGAGGGGGACGACGAGTCCACCACGGGCGGGGCGGCCACGGGGGGCGCAGTGCTCGTGGGCGTCACGGCGTTTGTGACGGGCGAGGCAGCAACGGACGCGGCCTTTGCTTCGACGTCCGCCCCCGCTGTAGGTGACCCGAGGGCCTCCGCCTCGTCCCCGCCCCCAGGGGCTGGCGCAGCGGAGATGGACAGCGCCGAGCCAGCCTCCCCCAGGGGCGACGCCACCCCTTCCTTGTCGGGTTTGAGCGGGGGTCCCGAGGCCGCCGCCGCCGTCCCCGAGGCCGAGTACAACAGCTGAGGACGCTGCTCGCTGCGGGCAGTCATGGCTCCTCCTGCTCGGCGCTCGCTAATTCCGGCTCTTGGCTCTCTTCACTGGCAAAAAGGTCACCGCGAGGCCTTCTCAAGAGGTCATTTACGGCGGTCGAGTCTGTGTCCTAAGAGTTAAACACCTGGACAAGGGACGAGCGTATTTCAGTGCCATGCGACGCGGGATAAATTCTTTTTGCTGGTTTACAATGGTCACGATAAGTTTGCCTTGATATCAAAATTAAGTTTTGAACCGGGTGAAGGAGAGAAGATGAGAAGGGATACCGGGAAGGAGTGGGGGAGAGACGCAGGGGAGGGAAATGTGGAGGAGTAGGGGGGAGCTTAGCGAATGGAGAGTTAGCGTTAAAGGGAGAGGGAGAGATAGGAAGACAGAGAGGGAAAGGGAGAGGGAGAGGGGGAGTGAGGGAAGGAAGGAGGGAAAGAGAGAGAAGGAAGGAGGGAGAGAGAGAAGGAAGTAGGGAGAGAGAGATTTAGGGAAAGAGGGAGAGAGAGTGAATGTAAGGAGGAGAGTACGAGAAGGATAAAGGAGGGAATGATGAGGATGAAGGAATGGAGGTGAGATGAGAGAAGAATGTAGGGAGAGATGGAGGAGTAGGAGGAAGAGAAGGAAAAAAGAGAGAGGAGGTAAGAAGGAAAAGAGAGTAGGAAAGAAGAGAGGGTGAGAGATAGAAAGATAGGACCGTGAGAGAGAGAGAAAAGTAAGTGAGGAAGGAAAGAGAAGGAAGGAGGAAGAGAGAGAGGAAGGATGGGAGGAGGATCGGCGGAGAGGGAGAGAGAGAGAGGAGTGAGAGGAAAGAAGGGGGGGAGGGAGGGGGGGAGGGGAGTGGGAGTGAGTGGGAGGGGGGGGAAGAGGAAAGAAGGAGGAGAGGGAGGGGGGGGAGGGAGTCGGGGGTGGGAGGCGGAAGGGGCAGACCGAGCGGGGGGCGGAGAGGGGAGAGAGAAGGGAGGAGAGAAGGAGAGAGAAGAAGAAGAGAGAGAAAGAGGAGAAAGGAGCGAGGGGGGGAGGAGAGGGGGGACGGGGGCGGGGAAAAGAGGGATGCGGATGGGAGAGAAGGGAGGAGGGGGGGGGGGAGATGGGGGGAACGAGCTAGGGGGTGAGACGTGAGAAGATGTGGGGAAGAGAGGTGAGGGAAGGTGAGGAGGAAGGGGGAGGAGAGAAGGAGAGGGCGAGGGTGGGGGAAGGAGAGGGAGGAGGAAGGGGAGGGAGAAGAAAGAGAAAAGTGAGGAGGGGGAGCAGATGAGGAAGAGAGCAGAGGAGAGAGAAAGAAGAGAAAGTGAGGGAGAGAGGAGGAAGAGAGATAGAAGAGAAGAAGGGAGTGAGGAAGAGAGGAGAGAGAGGGGGTGATGAGAGAGAAGAGGAGAGAGGAGAGAGAGGGGAGAGGGGAGACGGGAGAGAGAGAGGGGAGAGGAAGGAGGGAGAGGATAGACGAGAGGAGACAGGAGGGGAAGTGAGAGGAGGAGGAAAGAGAGATGAGAGAGGAGAGAGAGAGGAGGATCGGAGAGAGAGGAGAGAGAGATAGGGTGTGATGAGAGGAGGGGTCGGGAGATACGAGGATGGAGAGTGGACGAGAGATGGGTGGCGAGGGGAGTGGATTGAGAGGAAGAGGTGAGAGGTGAGGAGAGAGGAAGAGAGAGGGAGAGACGAGAGAAGAAGAGAGGAGGAAGGGGGGGGATCGGGAAGAAGGAGGGGAGGGAGGAGAAAGTAGGAGAGTGCATAGTTAGAGGAAAGGATGCGGAGAGGGGAAAAGATAGATAGCAGGTGACGAGAGCGAGAAACAGGACACGGGAGAGAGGAACAGACAGCGACAGAGAGAGGCAGAAGAAAAGAAAAGTGCAAACAACAACACGCCAACCACGCGAAGAGAGATAATTCAGAGTCAAACTCGGCACAGCGACCTCGCATCGTCCTTGAGGCCCACGAAACAATGTACGTCAATAGAGACAAGGGACAAAAAAGAAAAAGGGAGGAAAGATAAAAAGTAGACAACGAGAGAAAGAAAACCGCAGGATAAGGAGATTGACCAATAAAAACAAAAAGAAAAAAAATAAGGATAAGTTTAAGAAAAAAAGAGACAGATACACGAGAGGAAGACCAATAAAACAAAAAAGAAGGAAAAACAAAGGATAAGTTTATGAAAAAAAAATGAGATACAGAGAGAGAGAGAGAGAGAGAGAGAGAGAGAGATGAGATGAGAGAGAGAGAGAGAGAGAGAGAGAGAGAGAGAGAGAGAGGAGAGAGAGAGAGAAGAGAGAGAGAAGGAGAAACGAACAGCCGAGCAGAAAAGAGGAAAGAGGGTTAAGGGAGGGCGTGGTAAAAAAAAAAAAAAAAAAGTTGCACTGCTGCTCGAGTCAATATTCTATCTTTGGGTCCCTCTTGCACGCGAGCTCAAGGATCCAAACACAACCCGAGTAAATAGCAACACAAGCACATAATAAGAGAGGTGCATAATAGAAAACGATGAAGATATTTACATGTTCACCGTGAAGGTTGTTGTGAGGGGGAGGGGAAGGGGGAGGGAGGGAGAAGGAAGAGGGGTGGAGAGCGAGGACGACATAGGAGGGAAAGAGAGAAGAGAGGAGAGGAGAGACGAAATAAAGAGAAGGAGGGGGCGGACAAAATAGGAGGAAGGAGGAGGTGGAGGAGAGAGGAGGAAGGAGAAGGAGGAGGAAGGGAGGGGCGGAGGAGTGTTAGAGGGAGGGAAAGGAGGAGGAGTGAGAGGAGGAAGAGGAAAAGGGAGGAGAAGTAGGAGAAGAAGGAGGGAGGAGGAGGAGAAAGAGAAGAAGAAGAGGAGGAGGAGAGAAAGGAAGAAGGAGGAGGAGGAAGAGAAGGGAAGTATGAAGGAGAGAAGGGAGAAAGGAGAAGAAGGTGGTCATTTATCATAATAAAAAAGACCGCGGAGAAAAAATTACACGTCTATCATAATCATACACCGACAGCCAGAACAACAAAAATGTCCAGAAAATAAAACAATCACCTAAGGAAAGAGAGAGGGAAAGGAAAGAAGGAAGAAGGGAGAAGTGGAGAAGAGGAAGGAGAAGGGGAGGAGGAGGAGAGGAGGAGGAGGAGGAAGGAGGAGGAGGAAAAGAGAGAAGAAGAAGAAGAAGAGTAGAAGAAGAAGAAGAGAAGAAGAAAGAAGAAGAAGAAGAAGAAGAAGAAGAAGAAGAAGAAGAAGAAAGAAGAAGAAGAAGAAGAGAAAGAAGGAGGAGAAGGAGAGGAAAAGAGAGGAGGCGAGAAGAAGAAAGAGAAGGATTAATCATTCAGCATAATAAAACACCAAAAAATCATCCTACAGCGACATGCAAAACAACAAAAGTGCCCAGAAAGAGAACCATCACCCAGAAAAAAAAAAAAAACACTAGCGAAGCGTGTTCTTCTCGACGGAGCCCCGTTTCCATTACCGGAATGAGGGGGACGGGAGTAGGGGATGGAGGGGGGATAGGACAGGGCGCGGGATGGAAATGGTGAGGGGTGGGGGTAACGGGGGGGAAGGGGAGGAGGGATAGAAAAGGGGGCGGGAGGTTGGAGATGGTAAGGGGGGGGGTGACGGTTGGTAGGGAGGAGGTAGAACAAGGGGGGGGGGGGAGGCACGCACACGCTCGGGATGAGGCCGCGAGAGGCTCCTTAGAGTCTTCGCGAGGAGGACAATGGATGCAAGTTCACGGGTGGAAGGAAAATGTAATGATGATGACAAGGGCGGCGGCAGGGAGCGAGGCGGTGCCGGGAGGGGAGGGGGGGGTGGCAGGAGGCGAAAGCTATAGCAATAATAGCGACTATGATCAAAATCATTTATTCTCCTCAACATCAGTTATCGTTATTGTTATCATTACCGTTCCTATTGCAATTATTTTATCACTATCATAATTATCATTATTACCATTTTCCTTACTATCCTCAGTATTATCATTATCATCCTCATCACCAGTACTATCATCATCATTATCATTATTACTATTATTATTATGATAATCATGTTATTAATATCATTACTATTAAAATTATTGCCATTATCATGTTTTTATCTAAATGAGCGCTAAGGCTGTTATCAACACTAATGTTATTACCCTTATCAATACTTTTCTACCATAAAATTTCATTATTAGTTTGGCGTCTCTTAACCATTACTGTCAGAATTATTATCGCATTACCACCATCGCAAATATTATCATCTAAATCATCAGTATGACCTACATCAATATAAAAATACTAAATAAATAACATTCTTCTCTTTTTCACAAAAACGAAAGATAAAATTCCCACTTAATAGCAAGACTGGTGGCAAGATAACAAGATATTTGCATGATTTCCCACTAGTTGCAACATGCTTGTTGATAAAAATAAATATTTGATAAACAAAAAATTTCAACATAAAACAAACCACGAAAACAACAGCAAAAAACAATCACCAATCGTGCCAACCAAACCGGCCAAGGGAAACTCGCCCGTGCTACGCCAAAACCGTGACTTTATTCGCTGGTCTCGCCCCATCTTGCGCGCATCGGGTTAGTTAGCCTAATTTTTACGCGGTTACGAGGGCTCCGCGTTTAACCGAGTTCTGATTAGGTTAGGGACGAAGAATTGGATTTGGCGGGTTTATTGCGTGGCTGACGCGCGAGAACGGAGGATGTAACGCGTGAATTTTCCGCCTCGAGTCAGGATTGGCAGGTGTCACCAACAGGGACATTTATTGGAAAATGAGCAAATGCATAAATATATATATCTATATATGCATATACATATATACACATATATACATTCATATAAATATATATATATATATATATATATATATATATATATATATATAACACAAGTACTGCATATATGTATGCATGTATATGTATGCACGTGTGTGTGTGTGTGTGTGTGTGTGTGTGTGTGTGTGTGTGTGTGTGTGTGTGTGTGTGTGTGTGTGTGTGTGTGTGTGTGTGTGTGTGTGTGTGTGTGTGTGTGTGTGGTGTGTGCCTGTGTGTGTGTGTGTGTGTGTGTGTGTGTGTGTGTGTGTGTGTGTGTGTGTGTGTGTGTGTGTGTGTGTGTGTGTGTGTGTGTGTGTGTGTGTGTGTGTGTGTGGTTGTGTGTTGTGTGTGTGTGTGTGTGTGTGTTGTGTGTGTGTGTGTGTGT